TAAATGTAAATTATATACAATCTTTTATTTTTCTTGATTGGAATTTCGAAAGAATTAGTTGTTCTTGGAAAGAATTACAGAAAATTGGAAAAGGGAAATGGGAAAGTGAGGAAATGCATGCAAATGGGTTTGGGAAAATGACTTTTCTTCGGGCTTTTGGCTTTCATCCTTTCTGCGTTTGCTAAGCTATCGATCAAACGTCTTGGTTTCGCCTTCGCTTTTTAAAACAATCAAACAAACATACCTACCAAACAATCAAATATTTTTATTTTATTTTTCTAATTCACATCATAATAAACTAATAAAGACTAAAAGGGTGTAGTAAGTTTGGATCTTAGATGATTTTAATAAACTTTTTAAAAGATTTTTTTAAGTCACAGGTTTAAAAAAAAAATTAATAGACTCTACAATTCTTATATGGATTTTGACAGATTTATATAGATTTCAATGGATTTGTACAGATTCTTTCATGTATTTCTTAGGATTATTTAGATTCTCTTTCAGAAACACTATGTTTTTAATAAAACATTCAGACATGTTTATAATAAGGATGGGCAGGTCCAAAAGCTATTCACTTCACTACTTGTAAATAGAAGAGTAAAAGATGAGCGTGATAAGCAATAAAGTGGTGTCAATACTAGAGACACAATCAACAAACTTTCCAAATGTTTCAGATTTGAGAAATACGATACTGTAGGAAGAATGTTTGACAATGTCATAGTATTTGGTTTGCAATCACATGCCTGCATTTCACGAATTAAATCCAAGGCTTCTTCATGCCGGTTATTCTGAATCGGACATAAATCACAGCATTCCAAAGTACATAACTTCGGCTTCTTATTGTCTCGAAGAACATCCACGGCTTTGTCAACAAACCCGTGAAACATGTACCCGAAACTAATGAGCCATAAGTGACCTCATCCTTTTCACTCATCTCACCGCATAATTCTTGAGCATAATCCAAGCTACCACATCTTGTATTACAAAGAAAAACATCCGTCTCGATCTGATTCTCATTCAGAAACTGATGAACTTCCATACCGAGCATAAGGTCATTTGACTGTAAACATGCCTGCAAGAAACTAATCAGTGTCAACCCAACATGCCTAAACTCAACATCTCCCTGTACAACTCTTTCCACTCCACATTATACCCGGCCTGAGAATGCTCCAAAAGCATCTTATTCCACTACAGAATATCTCATTCTGGCATCCTATCAAATAAAGCTCTCGCCAAACCAACCTCATCACATCTCGAGTAGTAAGTAATTAAAGAATTAACAACAAAAACATCCGAATCAAACCCAAGACGCAGAACAAAACAATGAACCTCCTTAGCCAATTTTGAACCCGGAAGCAAAGCGCCCAGAGCCTTCAACACACACGTCACGGTAAACTTCGGGAACGCTTGATCCGAACATGAAGACACCTTAGCCGAAAACAGCTTCAGGGTGTCGACGTGCGCATTGTTAAGGGACTACCAATGAGCATGGCGTTCCAAGAGAAGGCGTTTCGGTGGGGAATTTGGTCTAACTCCTTGCGGGCATGGTTGAGGTTACTGGTTTTGGAGTGGAAATTGATGAGCTTTGAGGCCAGGAAGTTGCCGGGTGTGACAGAGAAGAGGACAAGGCGGACGTGGAGCTGCTTGGCCGGACCAACCAGGCAGCGTACCGTACATTGCTGGATGAGGTGGCCATAAGCTCTGCAGTCGAGCCCGTCGAGTCCATGGAGATTTTGAAGGGCTCGTTGGAGAACATTCATTTGATTTGGATTTTAAAATCGGTTGGATTCTTGGTATTTGGTATTTATATTACCCACACTTAAATCTATCGATATTCTTTGCCTATTAATATCCTTACAAATCTTTGGCTTTTTCACTAAACCTAGACATTTATAGACTTTTTTTTTTAATTTAATTTCCTACGTCTGATTTGGATATATTCTTTAAAATATTCTTGAAATCCTTATTTATGTGGATGCAAATTTCCGTCATCTTTTTATTTGACAAAAATGGAACTACAAATAATAACACATTTGATTAAGACTAAAAGTCTTACACACTCATGATGAATTGTATTGAAACCGGTTTGTATGGATGAGTTGTATGTATGAGTTGTCATCCTCACTTTAGCTAAGTCATAGGCTAAAGTCATTTTCCATAACTTGTCATTCACCTTACATCAACCTCACTTTCCATAGTTTGTCATTCACCTTACATCAACATTTCCATAGCTTGTCATTCACCTTACATTAACATTTCTTAGTTGCTTGTAAAAGCTTCTTTACTTGTAATTTGGTTTTTGTTTTTCCACTTGTTAGGGCAGATTTTAGGGATTGTGTTTGTGTAATTATCCTACAATCTATTGTAGCTTTCTTTTGGCTCTCTATAAGAGTTGCCTTCACTCTCTTGTAACATTCATAATGAAATATACAACAAATATTGAAACCAAAATTCAACAAATTGGGAGGGGCTTTGGGCGAAGAATCTCTGAATCAAAAATTAGAATTCTGAAAAGAAAAAAAGTGTTTAGGAGTTTGTGAGTAACGAATGGTTTAGCATTTTAGTGGGATAAGAAAGATATTTATAAGAGAGTAGATGACCCTTTGGGTGGAAAGTGGCCGACCATATTTGGTGATAATGGGTGAATAATTGCAATATATGATATAAATTCAATTGGATTCAATTATCAATTGTTCCTATTGGAATCGGAAATAGGATTGACCATGGATTCGAGCCATAACACATGATTTCAGAAAATTGTACGATTTACGTTTTGGAGTTACCTTTTCAATAAAATCAATAAGGGATTGATGAGGAGTGATGAGAGAAATATGATATAAATTCCATATTGATCACCTTTACTCTTCCTTGATTGAGCCGTTATTGTTCGTTGCATGTGCGTGGGAATCCTGGTATGCCTTGAGGGTAATCTCGTCTTTTTCACCCAACGTCCTGCCTCCATGATTTTTTGGATTATTTTTTGCTCCACAAATGCCCTCACACCTGCTAGGCTGCTCACAAGAAAGGGCAATATCTGTAGAGATCTCCAAAATTTAATGCAAATTCCCACTTGGACATGGAATTAGATTCTTCTAGAAAAGGGAAATAAATTGCCACCAAAGCCTATTTAAGCCTACCTTAAGTAAGAGATTAAATCAACTTCGGAAGGCAATTATTTATCCCTACAAGAAAGAGAGAAAGCTAGAGGATATTTGTTCCCCCTCCCCTAGCATTCTTCTTCGCCTGCCCGTGCAAAGAATTGTCGTCTGTTGATTTCTTTGTCTTCTCCCCACCACACCAAGGTAAGAAAAACTTAATTTTCTTTGTCTTTTTCTTGGGTAGTGCTACCGCGAGGCAACCATCGGGGTGGTGCGGCATGTTGGCTGGGTCGTACCTCGGCTGGTAGGGGCCAAGAATTAGCTTGGCATGGGCCGATGAGGTGGTGTGGCAAGGGCCACAGCTTGGCTGGAGCCAAAGGCTGGCTTAGTATGGGTCGAGGAAATGGCATGGTATGGGCTGTTATTTGGGCTACCACATTTGTGCTGCTTGCCAACAAGGAGGAAACTAGTTGAGTTTGATTTCTCAGCTGCCATAGATAGAGCAATCGAGGATGGAGCTACCAAGATCGGAGCTACTGAAGATAAGTGTTGGATGAACAAATTGTTGAGTGTGAAGTGAATGTTGAAGGCAGGACGGCTGCTGGAAAACCCAAGGTCATCCAAGCTGCTAAATGAGTAATTTGCTCTGTTTAGCTTGTGTCAGATTTTGACGACCTTCGTATAAGTTTATCAATTTTCTAGAAATAAACCGATTTCTTTGCTTTACACCATCTTCGTTTTTCTTGAAACTTTGCTTGCTTGAAGTGTCTTGCAAAACTTTTAGCCATAGAATCGTCGGTTAGGCACACTGCTTTGAAAAAAAACTAACGATCCCACAGAGTCACTATGGCCGTGAGTTTTGGCTTTTTGGGCATTAAGCTGTTGAGTTTGTCGTTTGGTACTACTGCCTAGCCGTTTGTTGCTTAGTTAGTCTTCAAGTATTCGATCTTTTGAGCTGTGTAGCCTACATCACAACATGATAAAGATTTGTAGAATATGAAAATCATTAACTAATCATATTAAAATGAGTAGTTGCATGGAAATTCATGGGTAATTTACCCAATTCCGTTGAAGAGTAGGCCCATATGAGTGTCGAATAATTAGTTTACCCTCTCACACTGGAGAGCAGACCCAGATGGGTGTTGGAGAATTAGTTTGCCCTGTCGAATTGGATAGCTTAACCTAGATAGGTGTCAGGGAATTAGTTTACCCTCTTGCACAGGAGAGCAGACCCAGATGGGTGTCAGGGAATTAGTTTACCCTCTCTCATTAGAGAGCAGACCCAGATGGTTGTCGGGGAATTAGTTTACCATCTCACACTGGAGAGCAAGTCCAGATATGTGTCAAGGAATTAGTTTACCTTCTCCCACTTGAATGCAATTAGTTTTTCCTCTCACACTGGAATAGGTGTTGTGAAATTAGTTTACCCTTTCATACTGAAGAGCTTACCCAGATGGGTGTCGGCGAACTAGTTTACCGCATTTTGAGAGCAATTAGTTTACCCTTTTACATTGGAGAGTTTACCCAGATGGGGTGTCGGGAGATTAGTTTACCCTCTCGCACAGGAGAGCATGGAAATCGTTATTGTGACCTCAGATGAGGAAAACTGGACTGCTAGACAATTGAAATAATATTCAGCCTGTGCGGTTTTGTTCGGTGATCTGCTTGATACTTCAAATTGTGGAACTTGTGTAAAGGTGTAAGTGGGAACCTCAGTGAGCTTGTCCCAGACATTCTCCAAGTATTGTGTCATCTTTAGATATTTTATCGTATGTTCTTCTAAGGCTTGGTTAGTGGTCAACTGCAAACAAGCTTTTTCATCGGTAAATCTTTCGCTAGCAGGGGCTGCCAGTAAAGCCTCGTATTATACTCCGTTGTTGGATACTTTGAAAGTGTCGTGAGTCGTAGGGCAAGATCAGCAAGGCTGGAAGCCGTGTTGCAAGATCTGCACCGTTGGGAGCCATGGTGATAGATCGAGAGCGACCAATAGGAGGAATTGGACCACTAGGTCCGCGGTGCTCAACTATTAGTGATGTGATGCTCCAGTATTGATCGTATGGAGTGATGAAAACAAGACATGCCTATGGTTCTTTGTGGTTGGACTGGTGTGTTATTTTGGTGCCCGTCTACCCCCAGTGCACTATTAGGCTGAATTGCTGCGTTTGTCGGAATATAAGTAATATTTGTTTTCACCAGTGTATCTGGGATGGTTCTGTCTACTCGATCTTATCAATGAAAGGTGACATGCTTATGTTGGTCATGTCCCCTCCACATTTGTGCATGCATAAAAACATATGTACTACAAATGGGTACCAATTGAAGAGCAAATTCAACAACCGGTTGAATAACAATCATGCCTATAAAATAAAGCATTTGAGCGTTGTCATACTTGACAAACGCCGAACCATCAAAACGTCTTTCCACCAACTGCCCATGAAAAAGCATGCATCAGAAAATAGATGCTGATCAAAAGTCCGAGCAACAAATAAGATTAAAATTTCCGAGCAGATCAACCATCTAATTGAAGAAGAAAAAACCATGATCAATACCTCAGATGCTCCTTTCTTGTGATCCAAATTTGAAGAAGGTCGATGAGGGTGGGCAGTTTTAAGTGTTATTGACATCTATTCTTAGAAAGAGGAATCGCGGTTTCTTCTAAGAGTAAATTATAGCAATGATCTCTCAATTTTAATCAAATTGGAGCAATGATCACTTAATTAAAAACTCATTACTATTGGTCCATCAACTCATCAAAATGTGTAACTATGGTCATTTTCATCAACTTCGTCAAAATTTCGTCAAAATAAGTTATGTTGGAAGAACCATTGTTACAATTGGGATCCCTCAACTCATCAAAACGTGTAGTTATGGTCTTTTTCGTCAACTTTGTCATAATTTTTGTTAAAACGAGTTATGTTGGAATGACTATTACTACAATTAGGTTAAGGTTGAGAGATCATTTTTCCAGTTGGATTAAAGTTAAGGGACTAATGGTAATGAATTTTAGTTGAGGGATCATAGCTACACGTTTTGATAAGTTGAGAGACCAATGATAATGGATTTTTAGTTAAACGACCATTGCTCTAATTGAGTTAAAGTTAAGGGACCATTATTTGATTTTACTCTTCTTCCAATCATGCAACTAAAGAATACAAACACCAAAAAGTAGTATTCCAAAAGAATTCTCAAACAAAAAAATAATAATTAACTTAAAAGAGAAACAATTGGAATTAGTAAATAGCAAAGACATCACATCCATTCAATTCTAAAATTAGTTGATATTTCTCCAATGTTGCAAACAAAGCAGACCGAAAGGGTAATGCTAGAAATGTTAAATTTGTAGATTAAATTTTAAAAACTAAAGGACATGGAAGTTGATGATTGGTTTATTACTTAAATGTTGATAAACGTGCTTATTCTTATTGGTGCCATTTAGTTTGCAAATTTAGGGCTGGTTTGGTATTGCTGTGCTTTGAAAAAAAGCTGCTGTGAGAATAAGCGGCTGTGCTGTGAGAATAAGCGGCTGTGAAATAAATCAGCAGAGCGTTTGGTAAACTTTTTTGTAAAAAAGCTTTTGGAAAAAAAAGTAGTCTGATAGTGGGTTCTTTCATTAAAGGAGCACTGTAGCTCCATGTGCTTTGAAAAAAAGTCAGTTTTCCAAAGCTACAAATAGCAGCTTCAGTTTTTTCCTTTGATTTCAGCTTATTCTCACAGCAGCTTCCAAATATAAGCCCTTTTTTTTCAGTTTACCAAACACCTAAAACCCTCACAGCTTTTTTTCATAGGTGCTTTTTTTTTAGGGAACTTCAACGAAAAGCTCCCGGTACTGTTCATTTCAACGAAAAACCACATTTTTACACTAAAAAGTCAATCATGGTACTATTCACTTTACCCTTTATTTTGTGCTTATCGTTAAAACTCAAAGTTTTCAAGCCCCTTTCATTAGTTTTCCTTTTTTTTAAGCACCTCACTCCCAAACTAGATCTTAGTCTTCAAATTTAATCTCTCTAACATTACCCAAACCAAAAAGGTCATGGAATGATTAAAATGGCTATCAAGGTTTACAAATGAAAATATTGTTCGGTTATACATTTTCCCTTAACATGACGATTGGAGAAACAGACAAAACTAACCCTTTGTTCTATACATGGTCAAAAACATGAAGTCTTATTCTCTTCGAAATCCACATTGACAGTTATATGCATGCTCTGTAATTGAACCCCTTTTGTGGAAAGAAAAATAGTGAACAAAATGATGGAGAAAATATTTTAGAACCTACCGAATAGTATCACCACAAAAATTTGCAGAGCTTGTAGTGATTTTTCAAAGTCCAATCCTTCGTAAATCTGCAAAGAGACAAAGGGACTGAAAAGAGCGAATCGGCAAACTTTCTACAAATTAAAGTCTATTGCAAGATTCATGCAATCAGAATCTGAAGGAAAAACATACCTGTAAACAATAATGGAAGTCATTCAAGAACTCAACAATTTGTAGAGGAGTTGATGAAAGAAAAAACATACCTGTAAAGAATGAAGATCAGAAAAGTTACTAATTACTCCAAAAAAGTAAATAAACCCAATTAGATACTGAAAAGAATGAAGATCAGAAAAATTGATTGCCCAAAAGAAGCCCTAGTTATATACTAAAAAGAGGGAAATCAAAACCAAAGCATAAACCTAGTAAGAGTTTAGTTCAAACTTCAAAGCATCATATAAAGGAAGCAGAAAAATCACTACAATACATATATATATATATATGACTAATGAAGAAAGAATTGAAATAATCAACAATCACACATGAAAACAGAAGGAAATGAATTTAGTGAATGGTGGACAAACGCTTGAAGGAATTATGAGAAAATGGAGAGTCTTTGTCGATCTCTCTCTCTGTTTTTCCCTCGCCCTCGTTCCTTTCTCCTTGATTTTTGCACGACTACAAATAAATTGCCGAAATTAAAAACCCAAAACATAAACCCATTGAAATTTAAACACAATGAATTACGTACCCAGTGAAAATTTCCATATCGTCTTCTTTAAATCTGAACCACAAACAGAATCCTTATCAACACAAAGGTCCGGGTCTACAATGAATCCAATGCATGTTCACAGTAATAAAATGTGTTAAAAACCAAAGATGGATGAAAAAGAAAATAAGAAACAATCAAGAAATTCAGGCGAGGGAAGTGATAAACAATGACACTGTAAAAATTATAAAACAATCTGAACCAGTGGTGTTGGTGGCGATGGTTGAGTCAGAGCAAAAGAGAAGAGAGAATGAGTGCTCGAATTGGGAGAGGAGCTTGGGCAATGAAGAGAGATTAAAATTTTGTAACCGAACAAATGGAGCAGAGAAGTTGTGAACTTACGATGAAAGGCTGTGGGAGTTTGAAAACTGAAAGAGAACTGCTATGCAGTTTGAAAACTCAAGTTGAACGGGAACTCTGAGGCAGTTTGAACACTTGAACGTGGTGATTCTTTCTCCCCCGTTTATTTATTTTTTCTGTTTTATTTCTAATTTTTTTGTGACAGAAGTATCCCTGCTATTTTGATTGCATTATTTTCAGCTAGTTTTAGTTTTTTTTTGTTTAAGGAGCTTTTCAGTCCAATTATTTTTTTGAAGTCTTGAGACACCAAAGTATGTTTATGGCTTTCTAATATTAAAGATTAGAGATTAGAGATTAGAGATATACTATTAATATGATGGCAACACATAGCATCCTAACAATATACTCCACTGCCTGGAAATCTACGAGAAAATTTTCTAGGTGATGGGTACTCTTGCTGAGTTGGAGGACCCTCAATTGACATCTGACATGTAGGATGATATCATTTCTTTAATACGACACTAATATTTTCCAAGAGGTCATCTAACAGTGCAATGGCATTGCTGATGACTCAAAATAATGAGTTGAAAATGAGGGACGAAAATAACAATAAACGGATTTCGGACCTAGAGAACAAGCAAAGTCAGATGTTTGCGTGGTTTTTCTAAAGATTTCAGCCACAACCACAACCACCGTATAGCCCGGGAACCCAACAGTCAGGCCAGAATCAGCCTCCTCATCCTCAACAGTCGGGTTAAGGTCAGCCACCCCCTGCATATCCGTATGCTGGCCATAATCAGCAACCTCTGTATCCTATGTATCCGATGCCTATGCAGCCCACGACATACATGCAGCCGCCGCCGCCTATGCCATTCATGCAGCAGCCCTCTATGCCTTACATGCAGGAGCCGCCTTATCAAGTGCCAGTATATCGACCCGAGATGGCTGCTCTTAGTGGATTTTGTCCTGAATTTCCAGTTTGAGGGTTTTCTGAAATGCTTGCGAGTGTTGGATTTGATGTGGACTTGACGAGGGTGTTGGCACCAGATAGAGGACCTCAAGGATGAGAAGGATCTGTGCCACGTTCAGGCGCAGATTCGGTGCAATAGTTTATTTGGTTCGCTTTCTTGTCGGTTAAATATGACACTTTAATCGTTCTATCTTTTTTGTTTTTTTTATGTTATGTTTGTAATGTCAGATTTAGTAGTTGTTATGACAGATGGGTTTTTATATATTAAGTGGAACGTTAGATGTATAATATTTGTGTATTTTGGCACTATTTTTCTTGTTAATTATTTTCATTAATGTTTATTTTGGCCTTGGAATTAATTATTGTAATTATATTAATGTTTATTTTGGCCTTGGAATTTATTATTGTAATTATTTTCATTAATGTTTATTTTGGCCTTGTAATTTTTTTTGTTACAATTAATTGAAGACGAATGCAGTTTGTCGGTTTTTTTATGATTATTAACAAAGGTGGTGTCGGTTAAGACCGTTATTAGTTTGCATATTTTATTTATTTAATTGTTATTTGACGTTGGTTTATGGGATATTTAATTGATTTAATTTTACTTCAATGTCGTTTAAAAGCGACAGTAGCTTGGATATTTTACAATTAAATTGCTAATTAACGTCGCTTTAAACCGACGTCAATTTCAGTGTCACTTTAAAGCGACGCTGTTTAGTGGCGATTTAAGCCAAGAAACCGACGCTAAAGCCCTTTCGTGACGCTAGCAATAGTGTCGCTTTGAAAATGCGACATTACATTGTTTTATGTCGGATTTTTGCCAAATTTTCGACAGAAATCGGATTTCTCGTCGGTTTTTGCTCCGACGGTGATAGCATATATTGTAGTAGTGATATTTTATATTATGCATTATGGACTTTTATAATTATGGTTTATGAAATAGTTTGATTTATCGAAACTACGTTTTATTGAAGACATTGAGTTATTGGATTTGCATATATGGATTTCTATGGTTTTCAAATATGATTTATATTACAGTTTTACGAACATGAACTATTTTATGGATTTCATGAATACGATTTATCTTGGATTTATGAGATGAGACTTTGAGCTAGCGAGCTCCGGATTTGATACGAGTTTTGAGATATGTTTTTGGTACTTTACATTCCATGAATCATTAATGAGTCATCAGAAAATAAATATCCGCTTACTTTGCAAAGAAGACAATTTCCTCTCAGAATTTGCTATGTAATGACAATTAATAAGAGTCAGGGACAATCTTTGAAGATTGTTGGCTATTTCTATCTCAAACAGTTTTTTCTCATTACAACTCTACGTTGCATTATCTAGGGTCACCTCAAAAAAGGGTCTTAAAATTGTGATTGCTCATAATTGTGATATGCCTAACGGATACACAAAGAACATTGTTTATAAAGATGTTTTGAATCTTTTACATGAAGGTGTGTTGGTTTGTGTTTGTCCATTCATTTTTCTTTTTCTCTTTGTGTCTATTTTTCATAATTCTAATGTATTCTTTGTTTCATTTGTGTGTTGTATGATTTTGAGAATTTTATTTGCTTTTAAATTTACTTTGTATAGATTGATGGAGCATATGCCAATTCGTCTTTTGTTACCATAAAACCCAATAAGGAAACTACAAATTAGGATATGCAGAATCTGGGTGACAAAGAATATTGGAGCTGATCGCCAACCTGCAAGTTTGGACCGTGTCTTTGTTGACAAAGAGGTTAAATTTTTACACTTTTGTTTCATTATTAAATAGGGACAATTTTATATTTGTCGAAATGCATTTATCGTAGTATTAGTATTAATTCAATTTTTCCGTCTCATTTATTCACATTCATTCTGGTTTTGTATTACAATTTTAGCCTTCAGTGCATATGGGAAAATATATGAAATCTACATCATTTTATGCATATTTTAGTCCAAATGTCAATCTTTAAATTTTCAAATCTATAAAATAACTAACTTTGTTACTTTGTATGATTTGCTTTTATGCATATGTTGCTCTATACTATAGGCATACAAAAGATATTTTATACATATTTTGCTATGTGATTTAATGCATTTTTTGCTCCCTTAAAGATTTATCTAATTTTGTGTTTCCCCTCTAAAAAGGGACATTCAATTCATGCAACCATGAAACCTTGGGACATCCAATTCTTTTTGGAGCGTCTAAAAGTTGGGTTCGTGTATGAGGTAGATAAATTTCGTGTTATCCGCAACAGAACGTCAAGCAAAATTGTCCCTCATGATGCTATGCTTGAGTTGAACAAAAACACTACCATAGTCCCTGTTGAGAAACCAAATCAAGTGATCTCGATGCATTGGTTTAATTTAATTGAATTTGATGAGCTTGACAAGAGAGTCGATAAAGATGTAAACCTTACAGGTAAAGTGTCTAATTTTGACAATAGCCACTATTTTAAAAATCATTAGTCTTAGTTTTTAACTTAATTAGCCTGTTATGATAACTATATCATATTTAGATGTTTTTGGTTATCTGATGGCTTTACAACCAATTGAGGACATCACTGTGCAAAACATCAGAGTTGAAAAAAAAAGTGAAACCTCCAACTTCAAAATACTAGGTAAACCATACTTCTCTTAAACTGTGATTGCATATTTATACATATATAGCCATATAAAAATTACATAAACAGTTCTGACTCCATTTTACAATTGTAGAGGTGAACAAGTTACAGTTACCCTATGGGCAAAAACTACAACAAGCTTTCAAGAGGATGCATTACAGTCGCTTTCACCTCTTGTCTTCGTTGTTTTGACTTCACTCAAAGTGAAGAAATACAGAGGTTATACCTTAACAAAGTCTATATGTTATCGCTTTACTTTTGTATTTATAATTGTTTTCTTATATGTTATCACTTTACTTTTGTATTTATAATTGTTTTCTTTATATTTATAGGAAAACCCGTTCTGGGGAGCACAAGCTCAACAGTTTGTATTTTCAATCCTGATATTCCACTACTTTCAGAATATAAACAAAAGTGAGTGAACAAATCTTACTTAATATTTATTTTCGTTTTTATTTTTATCGTCTATATTCTTGGACTTAAAAATGTGAAAATCAGATTTGAATACCTCAAAACACCCATTGAAATTCTACTGACTTCTGTTGAAAAGTATGGAAAAACTACTGCTAATGTTGATTCAGAACAAAAGACAATTGAAGAATTGCTTCTTCTTGATCCAGCATTAAACAAGGTCAATCCACAATCAATAAATTATCTCATATTTTGTCAATTGTATTATGCAATTGCTTTGGAATTGATTGATTGTTGTGATTTGGAAATGACATATTGTTTCTTAGTTAATACTATATTGTGCATACAAAGTGTTATGTTGTTTGTTTGTTTTTCTTCATTTATAAGCTTCAGCACAAAAAATTAAACAATTTATATTTCATGATTCAATATACATTTTCCAAATGTCATTTCATGTCCAAAATCTGTATTCTGTTTTATAATTTGGGTAGAAATGCATTTTCTAGGGTGCAAGTGTCATGTTTGCGAGTTTGTTCTTAAATGTTACTTGTATTTGAAAATTTTAAATCATATAAGAAATACAAGTTTCATATGTCAAGCAACAATTGTCGGTTACGATCTAACCAAGGGATGGTGGTACAAGTCGTGCCTGTATTGCCACAAAAGTGTGAAAATAACATATGCAACCTTTCAATGCTTTGAGCATGGGCCGCTCAAAAAAAATGTCTGAACCATGGTAATTTCCTAATTTATTCTTTCTGCGTTGTTTATATCTCTTTGCAATCAATATGGTTTTTATTGCAGTTTTTTTTTAAACTGCTAAACTCACGTCATAATATTTTTCGTCTTTTATTTAGGTTTAAGAT